CTGAAAAACTAGAAATGGTGGTTAGGAAGCCGTCTACTTCAACTTACCTGAGGTCCAACTTATCTTTCTGGAGTTAGATTAGTATAGTCCACGGCGCGAAACGCCGCGCACACCTTCAATTTACATGCGGAACAACTTACTCCCAGTGGCCGCGGAAAGAAATTCAACTACATTCTTTCCATTTTACGCTTACATCTACAAAGTTCCTTCATTGCCTATCATATTTCCGCATCCCCTAAGCCCCCTATAACCACCATTTCCGTGGGAAAAAATGCTGGGACTAGGCGTAACTGGGGTGCGCTACATAAAATAGCTCTGTTATAAGAAATTGTAAACAGAGGGGAAATAATCTGGGGGTAATATATTCAAGGGGCGCTACTAATGGTACTCGGGAGGTGTTGATGTCGTCCACGCATTGTAATTCTAGAAGAAGAAAGTGGAACTGAGTAAGGTACGGCAATACTAATGTGCAAAGAATATCCTGCATGCAAGTATACTTAGGTACAGTAGATAACATATCTGATGAAAGATTGGGGATTGGAGGATTTAACGCACACTCGAGGTTGTTTATTTAGTACATTGGGTTGACTTGAGGTGTAAAATGTTGTTTACTAGAATTTAATTACGTGCAGGTCAGAATACTGAGAGAAACTACAGGGTAAAATGGGCGAAATCCAGCGTTTGTTGGTATCCGAGGAATTTCCTACGCTATTAAACGCTGTGGAAAAGAACTTGTGTGCGCATGTTGCACTATAAAAGAACATTCATGAAGAGCAGAAACTTTTTAATTATATCTGTTCACAAATCGAAAAATTTTGTTTTGCCTCCATGAAATTGAGGTTAGTGTTATTAGGAGATAACGCAGTAATTTTGGGAAAAGAAGAGCAAAATAAGTTTAAAAAATTATATTTTGCAAAGCTGCCAAGTTCTGTGCCATAAAATTGAGTAATAAACTTTTAAGGCTGTTCTTTGCTATACTCCATATTAAATTTATAAGCAAGGAATGGTTGTTCTTTGCATTACTCCATATTAAATTTATATTTTATATTTGAGGAGTTACAGGCAAGGAATGTGGTTGAGAACTTTATTAGTATATGGCAACCAAATTAATTGTACAGTCGATATGAAGTTAGAGACAGGTAACATAACCAAACATTTGAAAGAGTTGTCACGGGACATTGCGAAACAGTTTTTTTCAAGCAGAGTTGTCAAGGGACATTGCGAAACAGTTTTTTTCAAAAATCGCCGTTGAGGTTGTCACGGGACAGGTAACATAACCAAACATTTGAAAGAGTTGTCACGGGACATTGCGAAACAGTTTTTTTCAATTTCTGACCGAGTTGTCACGGGACATTGCGAAACGGGTTTTTTTCAAAAATTGCCGTTGATATTATTGCC